CTCATTCATTATCCTTTATAATTTCTTCACAATTTTAAATACCAAATCTAAATGTCATCATCTATTTATTTATTCACAAAAGTATACCAACTATACATAAATAACTAGTATAAGTTTTAAAATTAAAAAGTCTATAATTAGATTTAAATTTAATTGTGTAGGGTTTAGTTATGGAAAAAAAAAACATAAATGTGTAAGCTTTTTGGCTTCTATATATATTACCACATATATATAATACACAATCCCCTCTCAAACCCAACCAAGCCCACCAATCTCTTCTTCTCTTTTCTCTCACTTGAAGAAGAAAGAACAAAAATGCTCAAACAGTTTCTTCTTCTCCAATCCTTCTCCTTCTTCCTCTTCAATGTAAGCAACTTCTTCAATCTCTCTATTACTCTTTATCGAATTTGAATTTGATTTTGAGTTGATTCTTATTTAGTGGAGTTTTGAATTTGCGGTTACTATTGTTGTTGTTGAATCAATTTTGATTTTGTTGGCAATGTAGGTTGTTATCGTCGGAGGAAAGTTAATCGGCGGCGGTTTCTCAGCGGAGGAGAATCCATTTACTCCAAAAGCATCTTTGGTTCGTTACTGGAACAAAGAGATCCGTGGAGAATCTCCCAGATCGGAGTTTTTAATCTCTAAAGCTTCACCACTCAACGCCGTAGACTCAGCAACTTTCTCAAAACTCGCCGCCGCGAACTCGCTCCCGACTCGGTTTCCTGATTTCTGCTCCGCCGCGAATCTCTTCTGTTTTCCTGATTTAGGAGCGAGTCTCGAGAAACACGACGACGACGTTAAATTCTCTGTCTATGACCAGAAGAACTTCACTAACTACGGCAATGCTCGTGCCGGAGGAGCAGATTCGTTCAAAAACTACTCAAGAGACGGTAATGTTGTAACCGATTCGTTCCGGAGATACAGTCGTAACGCGGCGGGTCACGACGATAAATTCACCGTCTACGGCGATAACAGTAACGTCGTGGAGGAAGGTTTCAATTCATACGGAACATTCGGAACCGGCGGCGCCGGAGTTTTCACTAACTACCAAAACAACGTCAACAATCCGACGAGTCGATTCACGGCGTATTCAGACGGAGGTAACGGAAGATCTCAATCATTCAAAACCTACACACACGACGCTAACGCCGGTAACGGCCAATCGTTCTCCAGCTACGGCAAAAACGGAAACGGAGCTCCGAACGAATTCGCTTCTTACGGCGTCTCCTCCAACGTTATCGGCTCCGGTTTCTCAAATTACGGCGAGAGTGGAAACGCCGCCAACGATACCTTCACAAGCTACGGAAGCGACGGAAATGTACCGCAGAACAATTTCAAAAACTACGGTGCCTCAGGTAACGCCGCCGTGGACACTTTCGCGAATTACAGAGACAAAGCCAACGTCGGCGACGATTCGTTCTCTTCCTATGCCAAAGATTCGAATTCGGAGAAGGTCAATTTCGTAAATTACGGTCAATCTTTCAATCCCGGTTCAGAAACGTTCACCGGTTATGGCAAAGGAGCTGAAGGAAACAAAATCAGTTTCAAAACCTATACTCCGAATTCAACCTTCAAAGACTACACCAAAAACGGCGTCGCTTTTGCTAAATACAACGCTTCAACCATCACCGCGAACACCGTCGGCGATGGCAAAACCGTAAATAAATGGATAGAACCGGGTAAATTCTTTAGAGAATCGTCGCTTAAAGAAGGTACAGTGATTCCTATGCCTGATATTAAAGATAAAATGCCTAAAAGGTCGTTTTTACCCCGGAGTATAATTACGAAACTACCCTTCTCCACTTCAAAACTCGGAGAGATTAAGAGAATCTTCCACGCCGGTGAGAACTCGACGATGGAGGGTATAATCACCGACGCCGTGACGGAGTGCGAGAGACCACCGAGCGTCGGAGAGACGAAACGGTGCGTAGGATCGGCGGAGGACATGATCGATTTCGCGACGTCGGTGTTAGGTCGTAGCGTGGTGCTCAGAACAACGGAGAACGTAGCCGGGTCAAAGCAAAAGGTAGTGATCGGGAAAGTCAACGGAATCAACGGTGGGAAATTAACGAAAGCTGTGTCGTGTCATCAGAGTTTGTACCCGTATCTATTGTATTACTGCCACTCCGTACCTAAGGTTCGGGTATACGAAGCTGATCTTCTAGAGTTGAATAGTAAGAAGAAGATTAACCACGGGATTGCCATCTGTCACATGGACACGTCATCATGGGGTCCGAGTCATGGAGCTTTCTTAGCTCTCGGGTCAAAACCGGGTCGGATCGAAGTTTGTCACTGGATATTTGAGAACGACATGAACTGGGCTATTGCTGATTAGACCAGACCGGGGTTATGGATTTATCAATATGATTATTATTATTGTCTTATCGCCGAGTTTTATTACATAGAGGAATGTTAATTTTCTACTATTATATATTTGAAGTTTTTTCAGTAACATGTAAAAAAACTTGTTACTGATTTGTGGCGGTACGAATAATTTTTATCATTAAAAATGAAGATTTTAGTGAATGTCTGTTTGGCGTTGACGCAATTTATGATTTCTGGTTGTATTGGTAGATATTTAAATTTTATCTATAAATGAAGAGGATTATGAAATTGAAATGGATATATTTGTTTACATAAAATAAGGTGAAAAAAAAATGTAAACGAAGATGTGGATAGTGATGGTGGTTTCAATTACATGTGCTAAGTTATGTCCACAGACCACAAGATGTTGTAGGAGTGTTAGAAAGATGAGGTGGATTTTATGTGCCACTCAATTTTTTATAAACATTTTATGGGAAAAAATAAGAGATATATAAGAGTCACGAGTTGTGGCTATATCAATGGGACAAATGCGTAATGAGGTTAACACACTTGGCGTTGTGGCTGTTGCGAAACATTTTTATATGAAAAATTTCTGTGTTTGTTTTTATTTTGTTTGGGAGTTTTCGTGAGCCGACATTAACGTATAAACTTTTCATTTCTTTGTCTTGTGAGACTAATTTGTTTGAGTACTTGGATTAGTCAATTGTGAGTCTTCTCTCTTTGGCAACTTCTGATAAGCAAAGTAGTTGTGTATCCTGACAAATTAGTTTGCTTTTCCGGGTGTGAAATGCAAAACGCAACTACTGAATGATTTTTGAATTATAATTGACATTGATTAGTTATTTTTTTCTTTTTCATAACTTAGAAGTTTTGGACTTTGTAACCTATAATTTTTATATAAGAACTAATTTATATACTTATAAATAGTTTATGCGTGAAAGGAATTTCTCTCATCCTCAAAAAAACGTATGAAGCCAAGATGGATGACTTGATGCTACGTAGGAATGTAACCTTGAATCCATCGTTACACTTTGAGCGATGATAATAGCTCCTCTATTTGAAGAAGCCCTTTCAACCTCCAATTTCCAATCTTTTATTTTCTAAACGCTCCAACCAAATAAAAAAGGGAAGTTATAAAGTCTGAAATATATTATATTTGTCTATTTTTTACACATTTTGGCATTTGAAATGACAATATTGGTAATGTTAGATATTCTATTAGAAGTGAATAATAGTATACGCGTTAACAAAAAGTAAAATAAGTACGTGTGTGGGTTGCCATCTTGCATTCTTGCTTATTGTCAATAGCTGGTTATTTCAAATTTGTGTAAACTATATGCCAAAAGTTTACAATTTTCCAAATATAGAACAGCTTGCCTTTAATAACATGAAACCCCGCAAAAACAAAACACACCAAAACTCTTGTTAGTATATATTGTAGAGACTATTCACTATGACACTATTGTCTCTAAAAATAAACATGTGTCATCAATTTGAGGTAGTATGAATCAGAATCATTGAACGTAATTTATCTACCGAACGAAGACAAATCAGCATGTGGGTCAACTCAATTTCCTCCCTTATCATCGCTCAAATAATGGGTTTTCTTAATCATTTTTAAAAACAACCTGCTCATAATTAACTTCAATATGTTGATTTTCTCTCTTTTTTCTTTTCTTTTTTGACTTACTTTGTTTGCTTTCTTTTATGATCTCTTTTGTTTCGGCTTTCTTTTTTGAAGACAAATGTTACCTAACTCATATTTTAAACATATCATATAATTCTTTATTTTAGTAATTAAACCTTATTTCTGGGTCAAACTAGTTATTGTGGGTTCATCTAGTGCATGAAGATGAAACAATCCATCACTTTCAATTACCGACTGAACTATTTGGTATATGCAACATAAAATTATAAAACATTTGTGGGTTCATATAGTGCATGAAAATGAAACAATCCATCACTTTCAATTACCGACTGAACTATTTGGCATGTTATGTTTGTTGCTTTTTCCCCTTAAAATTAGGACGATAGAAGGATTCTATATTTCTTTGATCAAAAAAAAAAAAAGAAGAAGGATTCTATATTTTCTTGTTGGTAAAACTATAGAAAGATTATATTGAATGTATTTACATCTATCACGTGGTTTTCATGACCAACAATAAGTGAATATAATCTTTCATCGTACGAATCAGAAACAAGAAACGAAGTTTTGCTATGGAATCACAAGGAACACAATAACTCTTGTTTGGTTAATGTGATATGTGTTTATAAGTTCACGGTTTTGTCCAAAGATGCTATGACAATGTAACAGAGAGAGTAATGGAGTTTTGACCTCTGTGTGTGATCAGAAAGACCCACCCATCTCTCTCTCTCCCCATTGAAGCTTTACCTATCTGGCTATCTCAACTAACTTGGTCCAAATCCATTATTGGATAGAGGAAATGTTGTTTTATGTCAATAATATTTTGTGAAATATCTATAAAGAGAGAGCCTATAAAGAGCATTAAGTGTTGTGAGACCAAATCAACTTCAATAGAGTTTCTGTGTGTTGTCCTTTGCAGAGTTTTCACTTCATTCAATTTGAATCCCTCTCTACTAAATGTGTTAAATCCGTTTGTGGTTGGTTGAGATAATCAAAGACTAAATGCCAATTCCATGTGAACTTCACTCTGTTTCAGCAACTCATCATTTCACTATTATAGTTTCCCTGCACTCAGTTCTACAAGACAAGAACTCCTTTTGCGAAATCCGATTCAATCTCATTCTTGAGTACTAGAAATAGAACAAGTATACTAAGTTTCAAATGCTCTTTACATCTCCCTTATACTAAAGTTACCTATTTGCAAGATTTGAACACAAACAACATTACAACATTCAGTCCACCTGATTTACCCGGGGCCTCATTTTATGATCTCCCAGCCTTTTAATAGTTTCTTTCTCCACGAACCCATGCTCCCGCAAAAAAAACCTTGAAGTGCCCTAAAACAAGGAAAAATGTCCCTTTTGCCTCCAATACGTAGCACCTTGATGGGCCCTAAATCCAAGGAGAAATGTCCCTTTTGCCTCCAATAAGTAGCAAACCTCTCCTTCCAGTTAACCACATCATCATTGGCTTCTGTCACAAGATATTGGCACTCTTCCAAGCACTTCTGCTTCCACAAGTCATTCTCTGAAGCCAGGTCTCGCAGTTCAGAAGAAACACAGGCCAATGTGGCAATGTCCACACCGGGAAGCGACTCTAGTATCTTGTGTTTTAGCTCTCGAGGTAGACAGATAAAGCAAGGTGGAAGTTCTAAGCCAGTTATCTCGCAAAGATCAACCAACAGAGGCGTAACAATACCATCTTTTATCATTCTCCACCACACAAGTACCTCACGGTGGATGCTCAAAGTATCTTCTTCTTTGTCAGATTTGGAAGTGTCCATAAGCAAATCAACAATGTGCACAGATCTACGTTTATCAATAGACACCATACCAACCAAACTACCCGCACTAAGAGACCCATAAACTACAACTTCGCCTCCTAAGTTCTCAAAATTCAAACTTACTATTCCTTTCACAGAAGCTAGAGTATAGTTAAGCGATACCAAAGTCTCCTCCGAGAAGCTAAAACGCATAGATGAATCAGGATCGAACAGCACAAATCCAGATTTTAACATAACAGCATGAACAGTCATGACCACAATCGTCAATTCACAAGTGTCACCAGATTCCTCCATCAATATCTTTTTCAAGAAGAGAGGCTCGCTTAACCTTTTTACACCGGAGAGATTCATGCCGCCACCGGACTCTACCGCTTCAATACTCATAGAATCGTGAACAATCTCCTGATGATTCGTTTCCGATTTCTGACCAATCGCATAACAATCAGACGAATCGAGAGAGTAATAGCCGCGAGGAGATCACCGTCGTTGTAATCAATCGACAAACGAACAGAGGAAGGTCGTCGATTCATTGATCTTTAGCCGGAGATCATGGAGGCTAGACTCATCGGAAAACTCGAAAGTTAGGGTTTCGTTCGTCTCCAGGTTTTCTCAAGTAAAAGCAACTGATAAAAGAGAAGGCACAGATGATAACCGGTTATTAATTCCCGGTTTAACCAGTTGCTAACCGGTTACCGGCCCAGTTTTTAATATCTATGGGCCGAATGAAGCTTGTACTGGGTCCTAATCGACCCGACCCGACCCGACCCGACCCGAATTTAAAACCCCACCTTGGTGAAATCACAAAAATGTCGTCGAAGTTTTTTGAGAGTTGAGAGAAAAGAGTAAACATGGCGGCCAACGGCGTGAGAAGAGCTCTTCAGGTATCGTCATCTTCCGGGAAGATACTATTCGGTCGTTCATCAACGGCAACTTCTGCTTCGAAGATCGGAAAATCAGCCGGAATTGCTTTTACGAATGGATCATCTTCTTCATCTCGTCCTTCACTTCGCAGACTCACATTCTCCAGGTTAGCTCTCGAATCATAGAACTGAGTGTATACAATCTTACTCGATAGTCTATAGATCTGATTTATATAGTTGATTATGCGGAAACAATGAATCTACCGTTAAGCTTAAGAATTAGGGTTTATCTCTGAAATGTAAAAATTAGGGTTTTGTGTTCAGGGTACCTGTGGAAATGAGTGCAGGGGTTTCACTTATACCATTACATAGTGTTACTGCTTCAGCTTTGCTCACTTCATTGCTATCTCTCAGCAATCAAAACTGGAGTTGCTTATCCGAAGGTATGCCTACTTGTGTTCATAATCTTTCTCTGCCAATGAATTTGAGTTACAAACTCGTTAATCTCGTTTATGATTGTGGGAACGTACGAGTCACCCGCTGATTTATATGTAGAATTGAAGCCGATTCGATTCTGTATTTTCTGTTTCTAGATAAGGAGTAAATGTAGTCTCAATTTGTTAATAGGATTCCTTTAACGATCTGCTTGACATGCTAATACTAGTACTCAGTTTTGTATAGTATATCAAGTGATCAGCTTTATAGAAAACGATCTTTTTCTTCGCATGTTTTATCACGAAAACGTAGCATTGTGAGGACCTATCACTGTCTATCTGTCTTTCCAGACTATCACCTTAAAGAGAGTAGAACCTTATCCAACGGTAGTAAAATGCTGTGTTGATTTAACATGTACTAAACGTTGAACCAGTGGATTAGATAGTTCAGAGTTGTGTTGGTCTATTTGCAGAGTGACTAATCTAAGTTTGGATTTTGATATTTGCAGGGTTTGCTTCAACACTATAACATGGCCTGCAAGTTTTGTTAGATTCCAAGAAAACTTGTTTTATTTCGTCGGTATTTTGCAGTTTTTCCTGAGAGATTCAAGATATCAAAAGTACCGAAAGAAACACAAACCCTTGCTTTCTTCTAAGGGCTAGTTTGTTCTGTTTATCTAATACAATTGTCATCTTCCATCAATGATTCCATTACTTTAACACTTCTGCCTGGAAATAAACTACTCATTTTGCTAAAGTTGTTCGTGCTCCCTTTCCAAAACCAATTAAGATATTTGTTATAGCGACCAAAAAGTGACTGAAACAGCTCCACTTTCTTGTAATTTTGTAGTCCGAATCATATTATGTCTATCGGTTACACCAACTATGCACTGTCAAGTGTCAACCACCAAATACATTATACTAGAGACATAAGCATTAGAATTTGGTTCTTCAAACCCATGTATATCCATAAACTGACCAAAAAGACTCAGCGTTGCTTTTAGTGAAAGTGTAAAACCAAATGATCACGGATATAATAAATCATATATATGAAAGGAGGCTATCTCTCTCCATCCTTCCGCCACGTCAGCATTTTTGGCTCTTCTGAAGATGACACATCAGCTTTTTATTCGTCCAATAAAAACATTTCATTAATACACATCAGCTTCTAATTATAAGTGTCAAATGGAGTAAACAAATAGCCCATGACGGATGGGCCATATGTGTTTTAGAATCTATTAGAGTGGAATATTAATGGGTCGAGCCCATTTCAGTGATGGCTTAATGCTTTTAAACCCAACAAATATTCTAATTCCCCACAAGATTTTAACAAAATAAATCTCTCTCACTCTCTGCTCGATCGTTCAATATGAAAGAAGAAGAATCTCAAGGCAAATTTCTCGACTTCGTAAATTCCATTCTTCATAGTCTCCCTTTTTGTACATCATATTTCTTTAGAACAAACGTTTTCTACCTTCTAACTGCCAGAATGGAGGCCACGTAGAAGTTACACAAAAACATATTCACACTCTCAGCTTACGGGATTACAAACTTTCACTACTATAAACTCTATAAATACTCAAACAGACATTGTTTATACCGGATTATATGTGTTTTAGACAGCATCAATAAATATTTACCAAGGTGCAAGGAACATAAAAACGATACAGAACCACCATCATGTACAACCTACACGGGAATTACAAAATGAAAACATCAGATACAACTCAAGTTGACAATATCGATATACACAACATTGAATAGCTACTCACCTGAATTATCACTGAGATGGTGCTATTTGGAACAACTGTCAAAACACAAATACTCTGTAACGTCCTTTTGAGTATCGTTTTATACTCCCTTTCAACTTTTCCTATCAATATTTAAAGCAAAAGTAATTCAGATCTAAAAACAAGAATCACCTGTACGACATACTCAAGCAACAAAACAAGCCTTCTTCTGAACAACGAAACGCATTTACGATTACCAATCTATCCGGCTTAAGGCTTCCATATGACTTCAAAACAAGCCTTCTCAGCATTTTCGTTCTTCTTCGTTCCTGCTTTAGGTCTGTATTCTGCAGCTAGAAATTTTGTATCCCTTGAAAATATAAATGAGAGAGTTCAATGAATCCCATTCAAAAAGGATAAAAAAACTATGTACCTATAATAGATATTGATAAAGCTGATAAAGTACCTTCTGACCAACTAGCAGAGCCATGAGGACGATGAAGGATATTACGGGAACAAGCAAGAGGTCTCAGCTGACAAGTAAGTCTTTTTTTTGGGTTATATTTCAAATCAGAAAATAGATCTAATCTTAAAAATTGTAACTACATAAGATAGTAGTTTTATTAACTACATAATAACAAATAAAAAATAAACATAAATTAGCAAGAACAATTAATAATTTTTTCTTCACAATTTTCAAAACAAATCCACGCGTAGCGTGGATATTCATCTAGTTAGAATAATTACGACACAGATCTACCAGTAGCAATTTCGACCGTTGCAACGTCCCTAAAACAAAGCCAAATGATTCAAAAAGTTTGCTTTTTTATCTTTCCCTTCTTCTTCTTCTACTACTAACCGTTGGCTAAAAGTGATCAGTCTCTTCATCAACCAATACCCAGTTCTTGAAATTTCTGAATTACTCGTTCTTGATCTTAAAAGCTCGATAAAAATGGCAGCTTTAGCACCTGGAATTCTTCAAAAGCTAATCCAAGGTATGAAAACAGGAATCAAACCAACTAGAGAGCACCGGAGCTCTATGTTACAGGTCACAGATATCGTCCCCATAGGTCTCGACGAGAAGTCTCTGGAGCCGAAACAAGGGTTTCTCATCAAAGTCTCTGATTCCTCTCACTCAATCTATGTCTCACTTCCTTCAGACCAAGACGACGTCGTTCTCAGCAATAAGATGCAGCTTGGTCAGTTTATCTACGTCGATCGGCTCGAACCTGGATCCCCTGTTCCTGTCATTAAAGGCGCAAAACCAATCCCTGGTCGGCACCCACTGCTTGGGACGCCGGAGCCATTGATGGGTCCGAAAGGAAGATCTGATCAAGAGATTGGGTCGAAGCCTAGAAGAGGATCTTGGGGACAAAACGTCGACGTTTCTTCGTCTCCGTTTGTTGTGAAACCAATGCCGTTGGAGTTTGATCATTCCACACCGGTGAAGAGGTCTGTTTCAGCTAGATTCGCAGCGTCTCCGATTAGAAGAGGTGGAGTGAGATGCTCTTTTGGTGGAGGGGTTTTGGGGAAAATGGAAGGAGAGAGTCCGGCGACGGCGATGCTGAGGAAGAGTTGTTTTGTTTCGTCGGCTTCGAAGTTTCCGAGAAGTAGAAGTGTTTGTGACAGAGAGGCTAAAAGGAACAATGCTTCTCTTTTTAGTCCCTTCAAATTCTCTATAGGTATAGTATTATTTTGCTTTTAACATTCTATTGATCATATAGTGAATACAATGATTCATTCAGGACAATGCTTGTTTCTTGATTGCAGAGGCTCAAGAAGATGTTGTTCCCTTGTCTACCTCGAAAACTAAGACGATAAAACCCGAGAAAGATACCAATTTACCAGGAAGGCTCAACACACTAAGCAAGGTGATTCAAACTCGATTTGTGTTCTTGATTGAAGTTTGATGCTTGGAATATTACATCTTTCTTGAAAGTGAAAAGAGTTGCTTAATCTTCTTTTTTGTTACTTTGGTGACAGGAAGCAATTCAGCTTCGGGAGGCAGCTCAGAAGGTTGCCCTTCAGGCATTGCGAGAAGCTACAATCACGGAAACTGTCGTCCGTCATCTCAAGTATATAAACCGAAATTCTTCTTTCGTACGCCTTTTTATTATTCGGATTTGAGTTGAAATGTGATGTGTTGATGTGGTTTTGTTGAAACAGGACGTTCACCAATCTGAATAAATCAGCAAAAGCTGATTGCCCTGGGGTGTGCTTTGAGAAGTTCATGGAGTTTCACCAGCAGATGGCACAAACCATTGGCGAACTCGCTTCCATTGAAGCAGCTGCTTCAGATGCTGAGAACAAGTCACAGAACATAAACACAAGAACCGAAAATCAGAAACCAAGAGAAGAAGAGCCTTCTTCGATCCTGCATGAAATCGCTTATAATTCTATTGATCAGGAGAAAAGGAGATCAAAGAGGCGGATTGTCCTGAAGCAGCAAGAAGGGAAGACATTGAGATCAAATGATGAGAACAAGAACCCAGTTTGTGGCGAAATAGGCAACACGATTAGGTTGGCTAAGGAGATCGAGGAAGAAGCTGCAAACTGGTTCATGGAGTTCGTCGAAATGGCTCTAGAGAAAGGTATGAAGAAATCTAGAGGCCCTGATGATGCAGACGTTAAGAAAGTTCCGCAATCTCTGATTCTCGGGGTTTTGAACTGGATTGAAGTGGAACAGTCTAATAGCAACAACAAGAGACGTACAGTCCATCCAAAAACATCAAAGATCACTCGAAAGCTCAGAATTAAATTGAAGAATCCTTGAACCACCTAAACTTACCTTAATGAGAAACACTGAATCAACGTTGTACCCTTTTACAGCTTATAAGTCTTTTGTGTTTATGGTGTAAAAAAAAAAAAGAATTTTCACATATTACTGAAGTAAAAATGAACGATTCACACAGGACAATTCACAGATTAATGAAGCTGAGTCTGTCGAAAGCTTAAAGAATACAACAAATACAGATAACAAGCTTTGGTAGAATCAAATGACCCAGAACCAAGCAATGACAGACCCAAAGGCCAAACCAACAACCAAGAACATCACAGTGACGATACCTGCAGTCTCTGATTGTTTCAATGGAACCGATTTTGGAGCCAGAATCATCAAGACGCTTGTCAAGTACCCGTTGGTAAGTCCCAATAAGCATGTCAGTATAGTTACAGGAATCTCAGTCCTGAGAAACATGGGACCGTGCAAGCAACCCCAGAAGAGAGGGTAAAACAAGAGCCTAGCAATGCAACCACCAACAGCGATTTTCTCATCCTTCAGCATGAAAACAGCGGTCAGACACTTCCCAACCAAGTCAAACACGTTGTACGCTGCAATGAGTAGCACAGGGTACCAGTCTTTAAGAAGCTCGGAATGAACATCCTCAGTAATGTATCCAGGGAATATTGACAATGTCACCATGTAAATGAGAATGATCCCGAAACCATGAGATTTAACTTTCATCACGATCTTCCAGAGTGTTTTCCTCCATGCTAGTCCGGTTAAAGAACCTTTCTCTTCACTCTTCTCTCTAATTAGTTCTTCATTCTTACGCGCTTCGTGGAACTTGATCACCGGAAGTTTATGCGCCACGTTGTAGAGCACAGCACAGATCACCATAACAACAATTCCCACAGCAAAGTATAGATTCGCACTGTTTCTCAACCCATCAGGATCTTGAGGATACACAGCTTTAGTCAAGATTCTCAACAGTGAAACAAGAACACCTACAAATCCAAAATTCCCAAAAAACCTTCTAAGTTAATCTAAACCAGAGCAACCAAATCATTCCACATTTGTGTTTTTTTTCAAATTCAGAGAGATGAATTATTTACCGGAGCCAGCAGTTCCGGCGACAACAGCTTGCATATACCTCGCAGGCATTTCACCGGCAACACCGATAAGACCTCCCTGCATAAGAGCATCACCGAGACCGGAAAGCGCAACGGCGGCGGAAGTAACATCGAATCCGGCGTATAAACCGACCTGTCCTTTAACATAAACCAGATCCAAAACAGGAACCACAAGCAAGGCGATTACGAAGAGTAAGAGGCCGAGATTGATTCTAAAGCTAGCGAGGCTCTTATGTGCATAGAAGACAACGATAACGGATAGACAAACAAGACCGACGAGCATGTAGATAACGGCGAAGATCCGATCAACGGCGGTGGAAGGGTAGAGGTAAGAGAAGTAATCGACGGCGGTGATGAAAGCGTTCCATGGAAGAAGAAAGCCAACACCAAGGGTGAAGTAGATGATGTAAGCGAAGTGGTAGGAATCATGAGGATCTTTTCTGGTGGATCCTTCGTGAGGATTGAGGAGAAGAGAATTCTCCGATCCTGGTTCCGAGTCAGTTACGATTCCGGCGGATTTATCGGCGGTGGTCATTTGAATTTGGTTAGCTTTTTTCAGTTTTGGGGATTTTTGGGAAATTCGTTGACTAATGGGGACTTAGTGGATAAAACGGTACGTTTTGTCTCTGTGTGGGATTACTAAAAACGGTGTCGTTTTGGTGGCCAATAATTTGGTATTGGTTGGGGATAGACCTTGTTTGAAAAATCGCTAAGCGCTAGTCGGACATTCGGGATGAGCTTAGCGATTAATCGGAAAATCGGATTAAAATCGGGGATTAGTTTTAGGGTTATTTTAATATTTTAAAAATATATTAATCTAATATTGTTTTCAAAATTGTAGTAAATACATAAAAATATATTTTAAGATAAATTTTTATGATTTTTTATTAAAAATTTAGGATTTATTAAAATTTGAACATAAATTATTGTAAAATATCACAAACTTTCAATTCAAATGTTTGAATAACAAAAAAAAAATTTGTTTTATACTTGCAATAAAAAAATAATCGGGATATGTAAGAATAGGCATAAAATAATCGGATTAGGCTGGAATTAATCGGATAAAGCGGAAAGTAATCGGGTGACTGATTTTTTTAAGGGATTAGTCATTAATTGAAGCGGAGAAAGTGGGTCTAGCGATTAAACGGAAATTAATCAGGGTAGGCGGGGATTTTTAGAACATGGGGGATAGACATAGATATGTAGCGTCGACGCATTAGTTGGAGTATTTTATTTATTTGTTTTTTGGCAATGACCATAAAACGTGCATTTTTTAAATATTATTCCATTTGTATATCTGTTTTAGATGATTTTTTTTTGAAGTAAAATCTAAGAAAGTAGTAACATTATATTGGGATCAGCTCAAAAATCATGGAGAACGGTTGAAACCAACTACAAGCATCGTGCTTTGAAGAAGAATTCTGGGAGATGCATCAATGGTGTTCTTTCTTATGGAGCCACCTTATCTTGATGATGATTTGGATATTTACATACAAATGAGTTTTGATGTCAGAACTAAAAAGTTCGATATGATAAGGTTACCATTCGATGATTTTTGGGGTACGCTGATAACTTATAAGGGAAGGTTAGGGTTAGCTTGTCTTGATAGTTATAATCTCATGGGCAACGATGATGGTATTACATTGTGGATTTTGGAGGATGCAGAGCAAAATCAATGGTCGTATAAACACTTTTTTACACCTTTTGCTCGAAATTTGAAAAATATTTACAAAATCTATAGTGTCACTGATGCTGGTGAGTGTATTTATGTACCATGCACGTTTCTTAAATCGTTTGTTATTTTATATTTTGATCCGGGGAGAAATAGCTTGAGACGAGTCGAGTTTAAAGGAATCGCGGATGGGGAATTTAGGTTTAGTAATGGACTTGTCTATACTTTCCCTAATCACATCGAGAGTCTCACGTCTCTGTTACAATCTATTGATTAATTTTTTTTTTCCTCCCTTAGAGTAACACTTAATTTTATTGAACTTTATGGTTAATTTTATATCTTTTTGAGTGCCTTTTATTTTGTGTGAGAGTTACGTTTATCCTTCTACTTGTAATAGACGGGCTTTCTCATAATTTTGGATGATTCTATCTTGTAACCAAAGTTCTTCTGTGATTTTTAAGTAAACAATAGCAAAAAAATAAATGCACAAGCGAACACAATGCATATATCTAATCTGAAGTCCAAGAGATCAATATGACCAGATGTGTGTCGAGAGTTGTTCAAATACAGGACTGGTTTTTTCCATTAACTTGACAAGCAAAAAAATCTTCTCGTTGATATTCAGCAAATGAAGAATCAGAGTGTGTGCATGGCATTGCTTCGAAAAATCCACACAGGGTCTTACTCGCCTTGTCCTTGACGTTCCACATTTGTCTCAAGCCACAACTATTGCTTCAAGAGTTGCTTTCCTCTACTCGGTGATTATTTCGCAAAAAAATGTTTGTAGGGAAGAAATTATCGTATGAGCTCTCTTTCTTTTCCTTGAATCTACATGAAGGTGGTCTGATTTTTTTTGGTGATATTTATTTCTTAATTCATTTTTCGATTGAAATTTTTAAAGAAAATGCTTTTTTTTTTAATTACCAAATCATTGGGGTAAGTTTGGGTTCTAGTTTGATTCTAGATTTAAGTGTAGGAATTAGGATGGTAGGAATGGAAAAGCATGGGAAGTTTTTCAAAAAAAGATAGTGAGTTTTTTTGTTCATTCTCTGTTTTCTTATTTAAATGTAAATCAAGAATTCGATCTCCTTGCTTCTTCACTTTCAAATTGAATAACACCCCCTAAAAGTTTTCCACGCAAATACATTACTTAATTAGTAATCAAAAATAACATAACAACGGATTTAAAGGCAAAAAACCTTTAATTATTACAAAAAAACTAGAAAGAAAAAACATCACATAGGAATTTTAACTTTTAAAATGAAAGACAACGAAATGCAAATGATTAAATTTTTCACTCGGAAAAATATTCTCTTAAGACTTAAGATTATTGGTGATGTTAGGAGCACAAACATCAACGACAGTGGTAGTGATAGTAGCGAGGTGATTAGTTTCGGATTGAGAGTGGCTGCCATCCATGGAAAAAGTGTCCACATCCTCTTCAACTTTATGATCTTGCTTCAAATCAAAACTCTTATTTTGGTTTGAAATCATATTCATATTAAAATCATGGATTTTTTGAGGAATCTAGACAAAATTCAATAAGAGCATGATTCTGGAGTTCAACCATCCTCTGTTGATTCCGAAATTGAACCAAACTCTGTTAATTCATATCCTGAATTTGAGAATGATACTTAGGATTATAAAATCTGATTGGGACAGCAACCACAGCCTCATCTGGAACAACAAGAGGGGGTAAAGAAGAAGAAGGCTCACCATTCTTCTTAAGGCTCTTAATCCTGCTAGTAACAGTATTGGGATAGTTTTCAATAACCGAACTCAAATCTTGAAGATCCTTTACGCCGAGTCGATGCACATCAATCTCCCCTTTAAGACAACCCCACATAATTGGCATGAAGATTGTTTATATAGTAAAAGAAAGGTGCTTTGATCCATTAGGGTTTTTATTTCCATGTTGGACTCATTACTTTCAAATTTTGTTGACTTTCGGATAGCGTATCCGCTCCACTCCTACGTGTACGCATGTGATTGAGTATAAAACGATAGTATTTCATTTTAAAGATAATTTGTAATTTAATACCTTTAGAAGATATGAAGACCAGAAATTTAGGGAATTAGAGGACCCAAGACCAGAAATTAAAGCACTTGAGACAAAATATGAGTTATCTTTTTTATTTAGGACTACATGAATATCCACGCTACGCGTGGGTTTGTTTTAAAAGTTGTTAATAACAAATTATTTTGATTGTTCTTGTTGCTAGTTAATCACCCGCTTTACGCCTCGGTTTTTCCGGTTTCTTTTTATTTTGATTTATTTGATGTTATATTTTGATAAATGTAATTTTTAATTATCTAATCATTTACTCATACAATGAACAACTACTCTTAGTATTAAAATACATTTTCAACCAACATACTCAACAATGCATCACTCACACAATCCGTAAACAATCTTTCCTAAACCAATTTTATAGATGGTAATGTTGGGATTATAGAACCTCCAAAATTTGATGAACTTACGTACTCTTCACCCTCAGTGTCATATATAGATAAAAAAAATAAGAGAAAAACTTACTCAAACCATTAGCTAATCCACTATACTATTATCCACTCATATTTTGAGTTAAGATTAAAAAAATTAGCGGTAAAAAACTTTGGAGTATATATAACTAATAAAATAATTTCATGGAAAAATAACATAAAATAACAAAATAAGTTAGTATTAGTAAAAATCAATATGTAAAAAAAATTAAATAATATATATAATTAAATAATAAATATATTATTAACTTGTGAAATAGATTTTCAAATTCATATGGGTCTTCCCTCATGGGCTATTGTGTTTTCCCCATTTGACATTTATAATTAAAAGCTGATGTGTAAAAAATAAAAGATGACTCATATTAATGAAATGTTTTAATTGGATGGAAAGAAAGCTGATGTGGCATCTCCAGAAGAGCCTAAAATGCTGACGTGGCGACCATACGGAGAGAGATAACCTCCTTTCATATATATGATGTCCCTAAAAAGGAAAAAAATTACACTAAAGTTAATTTATAATAATATTTATGCAGTCTTTATATCTATTGTTATTACTTTCCTAAAAATTTAGTTATTAAAAAAAACAGTACAATATTTTTTTTTTTGTCATCCTAAATTAATTAGAGCTCAAAATAGCCATTTCTAAGGAATGTTGTTTACATAAGTGATATGAAGCGGTTCTGTACGAATTTTTCGTGCCATATTATCCGCTTTAACATTAGCCCTACGAGAAATTAAAGATAAAGAAAAAGGTGAAAACTCCTCCTTGTCGCTCTGAAATTCCTCCAAGTATACTGAAAACGCCGGCTATTCGGTTGGAGAAGACACCATCTTCACCAGGTCTGCACAGTCTGTAAAGAACGCTACCTCTTGATTATCTGCACCAATCATACACTTCATCGCCCAGAGAAGGGTCTCGACTTCGGCATGTAGTGGAGATAGACTTCTACGGAGGTTCGCAGCTCCCATGGTTGGCGGTTCTCCATTTGACGATGTACAGAACCACTCTGTACCGGAGAACTTGTCACTTTCTTTCTATGATCCATCCACAAAACAACGGTATCCGGAATAATTCGATTCAAGTGAAACATCCCTCACTCGAATTCGATTTACCAAATCCACAAAACCATGATTTTCATTATGAAGCTCAATTTGAGCTTATTGCCACAATTGGGCCTCTTTTTCCGCTAATCGTAATACCTCTATCGATTCTATATCTATGTTTTCAAAGATTTTTTTGTTTCTGGCTTTCCAAATATACCAAATAATCCATGGAAACGCTGATGAATCAAATTCCGAAAGTATTCTCCATAATAAGTAATCCATATTCGTAAAATTAGATTCCGTGGGAAAAATTCCCATAGCCGTATGAATTTGTGAAAGTCCGTGGGAAAAATTCCCATAGCCGTATGAATTTGTGAAAGTGCCCAAATCTATCGTGCCAGGTGGCACTGAAAGAGGGTATGATTGATAGTTTCCTCTGGTGCGCCACATCTGGCACAGTCCGTGTCACAATCAATTCCTCTTTTTTGTAAATTTTCTGTAACCGGTACACAACCTGTTAAGATTTGCCACAAGAAATGGCGTATCTTAGGTGGACATTGCACTTTCCAAGAATGTGCTTTTAACGGATTGATATCAAAGCCAACAAAAGTTAAAGTGGTCTCCAATTTTTCTAACCGTGTGCTATGATAGCCCGATTTGACTGTATATTTTCCGGATTTTGTAAAATGCCAACCCAGAGAATCCTCCTTTGTTGGCGCACCCACGTGTATGGCGCTTATTAGCGCGACATCTTCTGGATCAAAGATCGCTTTTAAGAGATCAATATTCCAAAAGTTCGTCCGACTATCTATAAGGTCGTTAATTTTTAAAGATGGGTCAGCAACTGAACCATTACTTTTTGCTGGTCACGGGAATTGAGCTGGAATCCAGAGATCCTCCCAAACCGAGATGGATGTCCCAGATCCGACTCTTTTAATAAGTCCTTTATTAACCAGAGATCTAGCTGAACATATACTCCGCCATCCATATGATGGAAAATATGATTTTATATTTTCCAGAGGATTAAATTTCCTAAAATATCGTCCTTTAAACACCTTGGCGAAGAGAGAATCTGGAACCGTGATCAACCGCCATAATTTTTTTGCTAGTAAAGCTGAATTAAAATCGTTAACATTCCGAAATCCTAATCCCCCTTCTGCTTTGCTATTGCACAATTTATTCCAAGTCATCCAGTGCATTCCTCTGGAATCACCATTTTAGCTCCACCAAAAATTAGCAACTGCGCTAGTAAGCTTAGAAGTGATTGTTTTAGGTAGTCTGAAGCATGACATAACATAAGTTGGTAATGCTGCAACTACTGATTTAATCATCACTTCTTTTCCCCGTTTTGATAAAAAATTTGCCGACCATCCGTTAATCCTTGTTTGTAGCCTCTCTCTGACAAAAGAGAAGATTTTTGTCTTGGCTCCTCCTAAACTCTCCGGCAATCCAAGATAAGAACCCATACCACCGATATTAGTGATACCTAAGGTAGATTTGATTTCATCCTTGATATCATCATCTACCTTATGTCTAAACTGAATCGAGGATTTTAAAAAATTAATCTGCTGCCCCGAGACGGCTTCGTACTTCTTTAAAATTCCCAAAATTACCTCACACTGATCCTTGTTGGCCTTGCAAAAAAATAAGCTATCATCCGCAAATAACAGATGTGAAACCGAAGGGCTTGCATTTGCTACTTTGATATCCGTAATTAATTTTTCCCATTCAGCTTTCCGAATATTCGCAATTAGCACTTCTGTGCAAAGGATGAATAAATAAGGTGAGAGTATGTCTCCTTGTCGTAAACCCCTCTCTGGTACTATTAGTCCTCTAGGTTGTCCATTAAGGAGAACTCTATATTGGACAGTTGTAATACACCACATTATCCATTTAATCCATTTTTCACAGAACCCCAATTTTCTTAAAACCTTCTCTATGAAAATCCATTCCACCCTATCATAAGCCTTACTCATATCCGTTTTAATTGCCATGAATTTTCCTTTACAGGACGGGTTAGTTCTCAAACCATGGAACATCTCTTGTGCGATGAGAATATTATCTGAAATCAATCGTCCTTCTATTAAAGCCGATTGTGTTTCCAAAATCAGTTTTGGTAGCACCGTCTTAAGTCTTTGGCAAAGAATCTTCGATATAATTTTATACCCAACATTGCAAAGACTGATAGGCCGTAATTCCGTCATCCGTGTCGGTCTTTCCGTTTTTGGAATCAAGCAAATATTAGTCGTATTTAACCGTTTATCAAAAATTGCATCCTCTAAAAAAGAGTTGACCAGAAAAAGAAGGTCTGTTTTGATGGTAACTCAAGTCTTTTGAAAAAATAAAGCTGTCATACCATCAGGTCCTGACGCTTTTTCCGGATACATCATAAACAAAACTGTTCTCACCTCACATTCCGTTGCGGATGCCGTTAAAAAATTATTAATCTGTTCTGTAATCAGAGGTTGAACTTCTGCCAAAGATTCCTCAAAAGCCTCAGGCTTAGTTGTAGTAAACAGTTCCTTAAAATATGACACCGCTATATTTTGTATATCCTTATCCTCTGCAGACCAATTCCCATTCTCATCATGTAACCCCGTTATTCGATTCCTTGCCCGCCTTTGTTTTGTTAGTGCATGAAAATACTGTGAATTATTATCCCCTACTTGCATCGAGAAGCTCCTACTTTTCTGATGCCAATACAACTCATCATCTCGATAAGCCTCTTTCAACCGTAATGTTAACTCTGTAATATCCTCCCGTGGTCTCCTATCATCTCTTTGTGCCACGAGTAATTCCGATTTTAGTTTCTCTATTGTTTGCCGCCCATAGAGAGTTAAATTTTTCCTCCACTGTGAAATAGCCCGCCTACAATTAGTCAATTTTTCTACAAACTTTCCCTCTCCTAACTCAGAATCCGAATTCCAACCATTTGAAATTGCCTCGAGTAATCCTTCCTTCCCAATCCATCTTTTATCAAACCTAAAATTTCTTTTCCCACGTGGGACCTTATCCATGAGTGACGCTACCACCGGTGAATGGTCGGAAGCTACCATTGGTAAATATTCAACGAAAGAATTGCAGAATAATTCATGCCAATCTTCGTTTGCTAAAGCTCTATCCAAACGACACCGTATTGGTTTCTTGTCCCGCCAACCTCGCCAAGATAACCAATCTCCGATATATGGGAACTCCAAAAGACCGCAATTTTGAATCATTAAATTAAAAGGAAAAAAACAGTAAAATATATTTCTTTAAATGACTAACAAAAAAAACTTAAATGACAAAAAATGATTTTAAAAGAAATAAATTGGTTGTACTTCATAATTTAGATAACTAGATTTTAATATGCGGTACACCGTGGGATGATTTATTTCTTAAAGTTAGTATATATAAAATTTTGCAAATTGTATCTCCATTATTTTATAGTTTACAATTGTTATTAAATAACGGTATACCACGAATCCAGAGGACAATGTTAATAAACTGAGGTTTTAACCCGTATTAAAGCGGCATGTTAATGATATTTTAAATTTTATAAATATTGA